CTAATGCAACATGAAAAGCACTTTTTACTAAAACTGTCAGTAGACTTTTTTCTGGAACTATTTGTAAGGTTTTTATTAAAGGAATTTAAAATTAAGAAGAAAAACATATAACCTCACACTTAGTTTTCAAAAGGCCACATTTTAAACCTGCTTGAAAACTAAAATATTGCTAAATAAACAAGGTTTTATTATTTTATAGTTTTTCATTTTGAACAAGAAGTTTATTGAAGAAACAAGGCGCTTGACTTAAAGGGAAAAATATTGAAGAATCTTTTTTTAAGAGTGATGTACAGCTACGTATGTAGCTGATTGTTGCAGCTCATACAGAAAAGTCATAAAATTGTCCTTGCTTTACAGTGATAAATTAGAAACTTGAAATTCTGCAGTCAAACAAGATATGCCAGAATGTTTATGCTTTTTGTCTCTTCTGCTAAAATTTTGAGGGCAAAATAACTTACTTAAAATACAGTATGCAATTATATCAAAGCACTTAAGCTTTTATTGAAGTTTCCTGGGAAATCTTATATATTCACAAGGAAATGTTGTATCTGTTGTATTTGTTATACAAAAAGAAATGATATTTTGACATGTTAAAGAAATTATGCTGTCTGTTTTCACCCTTTATCACTTGGCTTCCCTTGATTTCTATATCAGATTTTGAGGTAGACCAGTTTAGTTTCTAGTGTTTCTTAGCAGTGTGGAGATTATATGTTGTACAGAAGTCAGGTATACCTAATGAGTATAGAGAAGGAAAAAGGAGAAATGTTTTTTCCAGACTAGAGAAGTATGGGGAATGGGCAGAATGTCACAATAATGAGCAAGGGGTTGAGTCTTCTATATTCTAAGCCACATCCTTAGAAATGAGAAAATGAGAATAAGATAAGGGAAACCACTGAATTGGTAGATTTTACTCCATGTTGTCTTTTTGGGAAATTCTGGGACCATGAGTTCCCAAGATAATAGCTTTGCCATCACGTGAAAGAAACACATTTAGTGGCCAGATGGATCATGTATCTTCAAATCCCTGAGGATCCTGAAGATGGTAAGTTTCTGGATACAAAAGTGGAATCTCCAGTTTGTCCTGTTGCCACGGGTCATATAATAGTACTTTTCCTTGTCTTTGACCGGGCTGATACATAATGAAACAGTGACATTTAGCTTGCATGTGTTCATAATGAGAACACTGTAGGACCTCTGACACTGTTTTGATATGAACAGATCATTTCTACATCTTTTTTTAAAATTTTATTTAAGGAGAAAAAGAAAAAAAAAGCAAAGAAAGGGTACAAGTTATACAGAATTTCAGAAAAATAATAAACAGTAGGAAATCACTAGTTAATGAATTACATATTGTCATCTTAGAAATATTTGTTCAAGTTACAAAATTAAAGCTTATATAGTGGACATTCAAACAGTGAGACCAAATAGTTCTGTTCAATGATCCAACAAAACTCAGTAATATCATTGTCTATCTTATACACTTAAATATACATGCAGTTATATCGTTTAGAGCACTTTCTTTTCCTCTCCTTTGTACAATGACTATTACACATTTTGGGTTTTATTGCTCCCACAGTTCTTATTACTTTTTAGAAGAGAGTAAAATCAAATGTGACATAAAAGAAGAGAGTCAGTCAAATCAAAAGGGTGGACATAATAAATAATGTAAAAACATAATACAAGGTGATCAACAATGGTTACCATAATGCCTCCCACTATCTCTAATAGAATTCCCAAATCATCAGTTATAATAAAATTGAACAAAACAGTAAAGAACGAAACCAACAAAACCAAAACATTGGAGACATTACAGGTCTTCAAAAGTAGATAATAGTCAACCAGAATGGGCGTCATAATGAATCCCACTATCCTCATAGTTGTTGCCTATACTTTCGAACCTCGTACTATCAAGCAAAACAGAATAGAGGAACATCAGTCAAAACAAGATGGTGAGAGCAATACAGGGCTTCAAATCAAGTTAATAGTAAATCAAAGTGGATTACTATAATATATCCTGCTATTTTTTAGTTTATTTTTTCCCTTAATTAAAAGGATAAAAATAAAAAAGTAAATAATAAAATGGAGATTGAGATAAAAGAGGGCATAACAACCAAACAGCGCAGAAAAAAACATAACCATTTAAGCAAAATAGTGTTTTACCACAAGATAATCCTGACATAAATGTAGTTATCATATTGTCTCTTTCCTTGAAATCTTTGAGTATAACTTCATATACTGTAGCATCAAATATATCAAAACAATGTAAAACCATTCAAGAGAATGACAGTATTACAGGGTATTTAGAATCAACTAACAGAAAATGAACAACGGTTTCTGTATAATCTCCTTGTCTATAAAGGTTTTTGTTTATACTATCACATATAATAAATCCAATAAGATACAACATGCTAAGACCAATGGAGACAGAAGAGCAAAAGCTTGATGAGACTTCAAAACAAGACGATACTAAATCAGCATTACCTATTATGATGTCGTTTTCTCCAAAATAGCTGTTCCTATCATCCAGTCTTCTCTGCCTCATTTCTGTTGAGCTCTTTTTCTGTCATTTGTTGTAAGTTTGTCTTCTTCATTTCGCTTTCTGCTCCATTCATTGTGGCCTCTCTGCCACTATTTCTGGAATCTTGGTATTTTCCTTTTTTAGAATATCCTGCAGTATTCTCTGTAAAGTTGGATTGGTGGTTGCATATTCCCCTAGTTCCTCTTTATCCTGGAAGCACCTTGTTTTTCCATCAATTTCCAGGGATAGTTGTGCAGGACATTTCAATCTTGGCTGGAGGTTATTATCTTTCAAAGCTTGAATTATTTCCCCCCACGCTCTTCGTGATTTGATGGTTTGTGCTGAGAAGTCTGCTGTAATTCTGATGGGTGTACCCTTGTAAGTGATCTGTTTCTTGTCTCTGACAGCTTTTAATATTCTGTTCTTATATTGGATTTCTGGTATTTTGATTATTATATGCCTGGGTGTAGCTCTGTTTGGGTTGTAGGTGGCTGGGGTCCTGAATGCTTCATATATCTGAGTATCTTTACCTTTTGCTAAATTAGGAAAATTCTTCTGGATTATTTCTGCGAGTAGCTTTTGTAGTTCATGTCGCCGTCTCTCTACATCTTTTTTCTGAAGAAGCAAGTTTAATCATTCTGATGAAGGGAACTACATCTACCAACCATTTGAAAACAGCTACATTAAACATCCTAATTACATATAATTTTTTTAGTCAAGTAATATCTAATGTGCAGTGAAATCAATCTTTTCCAATTCATCATAGTTTACAACACTCAAACACAAAAAATGGAGGACATGAAAAGCTATGAAGTCACTGAAAACAAGTGGATACTTTGAGATTTAATGGAGGTTAATTTGAAAATGATGTTTCTTGAAAACACAATAATGCAATCGGATGCAAGAAATAAGTTGGTAAAATTTCTATATAGTTTTATAAATCTAATTTTCTATGATTTTTCCAGTTAAAATTAAAAACTAGACCTTTACCCTCCTAATCCATTTTCTAGGTTTCTTTTCTTCCTTTCTAGTTTTGTATTGAGACTGCTTACTTTTAGTGTTTACTTTAATAAGTTTTATATATTCCTGAAAATGATTTACTAGATCTATGAAACCCAAGAGGTTGACAAATATTTCATTATACTAAAAATTATTGTAATAATTTTTACTCGTTGATAAATTATTACCAAGTAGACAAAATGTATTATTAGGAAATCCCAGGGCTTACATAAAAATGATAGCAATTTTATATACATAAAATTTAAATAAGCTTAATAAAATACTGTTTAAATCAAAGAACATGCTATTTGACCACAATGACTTCCAAAATAAAGTCTGACTACAGGAGCTTTGTTCATCTGTTAAGAATCATTTATATATAAAACATATATTAATATGTTTTAAATCAAGTAAAAATATAGATATATGATTATTTGAGATGATGTGTTTATTTTATTAAAAGTTTTAGAGACTATCCTTTTTTATTAAAAAGTATATATGTGTATAATAGAGAAGAACATTTTCTAGAATCACTGGTTAAACAGCCTCAAAGTTAGTTTGCTATTTTGGTTTATTTTTAAAAATATGATCTAGGAACCATCATCCTGTGCTTATCTACAATGCACAGTACTAAATCTACAATGAGTCTTCTCAAAATAAATATGCATTTTAATAGAAGCTGCGGGTAATTTTAGATACTTTAATGGGTTGGTGAAGCAATTTGAGATTTAATCTGCCTACTTACAATTTAAAAATTTTTTTAAAAAGTTGTTAATAATTAAATGTAACTATCAAGAAAAAGTGTTCAGAATAACGTGATACTGGTGAAAGAGGAAGTGTCATGGTGTATGTTGTGTCCCCCAGGCCTTATGAGTTTGCATCGTGCATTTGTGATTGGTTCATTGTCTAGTGCTTGGATTGATGGTCTGAGTGCTCCACCCACAGAGGGGTGGAGCCAGGATGTGATGTAATGACAGGAAGAAGGTGTGTCAGGCTCTTTTGCTGGTTTCAGCCTTGCTGTTTGCAGCCTCCATGAACTGCGGCTATGCCATGCCACCCTGCCTTGGAGCCAACTGAGTATGGACTGAAACCACCAAAAACTGTAAAAAAAAAATCTTTCCTTTCCCACTTTGTGGGATATTTTGTCTCAACAATGAGTAAAAAGTAACCAAGACAATAAGCAAAGAGATAAATGAATGCAATAGTGAGCCCATAAATAGCAACACAGAAATATAATCAACTGTGTATTGGTAAAACACATACAAAGTAGGGAGACTTAAATAAATGACCATGAAAATACTGGACATCTGGTTGCAAAACAAATTAATGTAGATATAATCTTTATAAACTTCACAAAAAGTAACTCAAAGTGGACCATGTTCTTAAAAATAGACTTCAAAACTGTAAAACTCATGGAGAATAACCTAAAAGAAAGCCTAGGTGACTTTTTGATGATATCTCTAATAACAAAGATATTAAAAAATAGTTGAAAACACTCACTTTATTAAAACTGAAAGCTCCAGCCATGCAAAAGACAACAATAAGAAAATGAAGCCACAACCCCACAGACTGAGAGAAAATGTTTCTTCAGTAAACCTCTAATGAAAGCAATATTCCAAAATGTGCAAGCACTCCTTTATAATAACAGTAAGAAAAAAATTCTGACTGCAAAAATAGGCAAAAGACTTGAGCAAAAGTGTCAACAAACACAATGATAAATGACAACATGCATTTAAAAATGCTTATAGTCACATGTTTGGAAGAGCTCTAAGATTCCCATCACCTTTGGTTGTCGGTTTCTACTTTCTTCAGCCTTCCAGTGCAGACTTACACAGATGTCACGCTAGTCAGTTTCCAGGCTTTTGATCTTGGACTGGTGCTGTGTCCTTGATCCTTCTTGTCCATCATCCTGGGTTGAACAACTTCTGTATCTTCCAGTTCTCCCTCACACAGATAATCACTGTGAACTTTTCTGCTTCTCATTCTGTAACCTTACTAAAAAAATCCTCTTGAATAAGTGTTTGTATTTTCTACTTATGCTGTTCCTCTGGAGTACTCAAACAAATATTTCAACATACTAATTCCAACTCTATGACTTTGTGGAATACTGAAATCTGCAAGGACAGTAAAATGATTAATGGTTTTCAGAAATGATTAGAGCTTGAGGGAGAGGGATACTTAGCCAGCAAAGGATATTTAGGGTGATAAAATATTGAGTTCTGATGAAGTGTATATGGTCATATATTGTCTTAATCTTTAGAATATACAACTTCCAGAATGAATTCAAAAGTAAGTTGTAGATATAGTAATAATGGTTTATATACATAGTTTCATAAACATCTACAGATATAATGCTCTGGTGAGGCATATTAATAGTATAAAGATTGTATAAATATGATGAGAAAAGCTTTCAAGAATTTGTAACTTTCATTTAATTTTTGTGTTTTTCTAAGAAATAGTTTATTAAAATTGATTACAAAAATATCTTGTTAATTAAGATAAATACAAACAAATTAATGTGTTTGTATATTTACAAATGTGCATATGTATGCACAAAGTCTTTATAAAATGATTAAATTCATCATGAGGAGGTGATACATGTAAAAGACTCAATTAGTTATTTTTTTACTATTGATTTCTCTGCTTCCCCCCTTCAATCTTTTGTTTTATAGATTCAGTCTTATCCAAATTTTCCTGTAACACATTTGGGAAGTGACTGGAAGTTCATTTAAATTTTACAGTATTAAAATAAATATTTTTAGGCTGATTCTCCATGAATTTCTCCTAACTCTAAAAATATGCTAGGCAAAGTGTGAATGCTGAAGAAAAAAAGGGCAAAGTATAAAATCTAGTGCCTTTAACGGACCTTGGATGCAATTCCTTGTTAAATGTTTTCTACTAACTTCAAACTCCCGAAGGGAGAACAAATGCCATAAGGCCATGAGTACCATAAAACAAAATGACGAACACTGTAGTCATTCTTCAGGGTTCATTTTTGAGAATGCAAAACTAGTGATTATTGTAAGAACTGGAAGCACTCTGAAAGTAAATGCAATAACCAAACTACACTCGGTGCTGTCACATACATTTAATCAGAGGACACTGCAGTCTATATACCATCGAAGAGTCCATTTATCTATTCAGTTATTCTGGATTCATTTTTGTCAAGAAATTTTTTATCATTGAAATTTTATACTTAGAATATATTTAAAAATGTAGAATTTTAAAACTTTCTAACATTTTTCTACTGATGATGTTTCATTGTGATATTTATTATTACCTTCTGGGTTTCCTACTACAAAGTACAAAATTGACCTTGTTGAATAGTTGATATTATGCTTTTATTAATAGTTATGCATTGATTGCACAATTTATGTAACTGGTCAATAATTTGCTATTCCTTTTGAAGAATACACACTATATACAAAGTAAAAAACAGCATAAACATCCCATGACTTTATAAGTTATACTTTAGGTCCCAAAATATTCATAAATATATTTTTGTATTTTTATAGCAATATAATATTTACTTCTGTATGTTATAATGATATTTTATATTTAGAAAAATTATATTTGCTCTGTATAGTTACTGCAAATGATTAAATTATTTTATAGTTGTAAAAATTCAGGTAAATACAGACTACTGCACCCTTGAAAATTGGTCAACTGTGTACTCAAAGAGGGTTTCAATCACATTAAATAGTCTAAATTTATTTAAGTATGATATTTTGATATTCTGTTCCTCACCATAATCAAAGACTCTAAAGTCAAAATCAACCAAATTATCAATTCAAAGCAAAACTACACTATTTCCAAGTATAAAGTCAAAATTAGTAGATAGCAGTGAAGATTTTTTGTAATCGTACATTATTACATTCTAAAAATTAATGTTTTTTCTAACCAAATGTCTTGTTTCTCTAGAAAGAAAAAAAGAAAAAGAAAAAAGTATGTGGCACTGGTTAGAGCAAAAGAGATATAACATTTCAGAGGCAGTTCAAGTAGCTCAAGATCAATAACTAGTATTCCCAAATAAGTTGCTTTATGTTAGACTTTCCCCTGCATTAGACTTTGCTGATGCTCTACTTCAAACCAAGGGAAAAACAGAAATATAAAAGTAGTCTTTAACATGGGGATGATAATAAATGCATTGCTTATAGGTCAGTGAGTTGACAATATTATCCTGAAGATTAGTAAATCTATTGTATCTTTCCACATTAATTACTACATAGTCATATCCATGAACTGTTCCATTAATAGAATAGATGAAGAAAAGTGAATGCAAGCAAATTATACATTCTCCATATCATTTTACTCTAGTGACTCCTGGTAAAATACACACACACACACACACACACACACACACACACACACACACACATACAAATGCTAACAATGTGAAGACAAATAAAATAGCAGGACATACTTGGCAAATGTGTGGCTTGTGTGTGTTTCTGTGTGTTGTACTGTTGGCTGCAGTTAAAAGAATGCATAAAGGAGAGATAAATTTCCTTACAAAAATCATGTTATAATTTTGAATTTTAGATAAAAGGTGATCAAAGTAGTATAGTATATCATGTATCTTCACCATCAAAGGAAGACTACGCATTGCTCAACTTTTTAATTAAAGTTTATAAAACTGTATAATAGGCTAGTAACCAAAAATATCAAAAGGTTATAAGCTATAAGGTCATTCAAAAGAATATGGAGTTTTCTCAATCTAGAGTGTGTTTCATGCTAATCAGTAAAACATGCTATCTAGAATGACATTTAATTATAATGAAATATTCAGTAGCTATTTAAAATATATGGTAAGATTTACAGACAAAGATCAAAGAAAAGTTTCACTTTTGGCAAAAAATTTAATAATGTTTTGTTAATATCTTATTAAAAGTATAATTTGATCCTTTTTTGATTTATCACTTAAAACTTTGCATTTGAAAACACTTGCTTTGCTTTGAATTATTAAGATTTTGCTATTTGTGTTTAGTGAAGATAACTTGTCTTATTCATAAAATCAACAAAAAAATGTTGAAAATTGTGTTGTAGCTCTGCATTTAACATCTCTACAGAGGAATACAATTGAATATAAATATCCAATGAATATAATTGAAAAACAAAATTCATTTTATTACTCCCTGCGGATCCCTCAAATTGTTTATTAATTTTAGTGTACATAATATAATCAACAAATAAGGTATACATTTAAATTTGTAAAACTATCACTGTAAAAAGCACATAAACATTAATTCCCATTAAACTCTCTCCTTTCCTTTAAACATATTTCTTCCACCATTCTCGTCACTTTCTGAAGCAGTTCTTAGTTTTTAGTGAGTGTTTTGTTAAATCTGTTTCCAAGTTTCACCTACTCTGAAAAATTGGAACTATTTTATGTTTGTTTCTTTATTTTACTTTATTCAAAATTTTAGATTTTAAAGAGAATTTTAAAATATTTTCAGGATTATCTGTAAATTGGAGTTTGTGGCTTAAGGTATAAAACATAATTACTGGGTTCAGATTGATTTTTTTCTTCAAATTAGTGACTCTACTGACAGTATAAATTAACTAACTTCTCCAATATACTATTTGTCTCGTGTAATTTTAAAAATATATAATCACAATGATAATTTGTCATCTGTTAGCTTGTAGACAAACTGGGCACATGTGAAAAATTAAAGAACTGCTAGATCTTGTTAGTAAGTGACAAATGGTCAATTTTTTTAACAACTCAGAGATTCAATATATCGTGCAGTGGATCGAGCCCTCTGTTTGGCAAATAATTTTTCTTTCACTGCTTCCAACATTAATTGTTATATTCTTCTTTCTTTTTAGTGTCCAAACTTCCACTGTTGCTCTGATAAACTTTATTTCTAAGCTAGTGAGTAAACTGTCCATGCAATACTTGTTCAAAGAATACAAAATAGAAAAATATAAAGGAAAATATTTCCTCTGATAATTATTTCTTGGCAGCACAAAGGCATATGATATTAGATAAGGTGCTTATACATTAAAATTTCCACATTTCTAATAAGCTGTCATAATTTATATAAGAAATTATGCTCCCATTTCCCAGCTATAGCTCTTTGAACTGACTTTTCAAACTTGACAGGAGAATTCAGCAAGAAAATATTCTATCATGCGTTTATGTTAGAAATGACTGGATGAAAAAATTTAATGATAGATGACAGTGAACTGTAAAACTTTTGTGTCATAAAACTAGTGAAACATGAAATTACCCAAATCAATTGCTTAAATAACTTAATAACTTGAAAATTTGAAATTTATTCATAGATGGAGGACAAAGAGGAATTACAATATATCAATAAAAGGTCACTGGAAAGTCTTCATTTTAAGGATTTGCCCTCAAACTGTATTTCACCATTTCTTCTTAACTCTCAAATCTCTGTTAAAATTTACTGTTGTGACAAATTTTAATATTAAATTCATAGGTGAGCAAGCAGATATATTTCCTTTGGTAACAGGTCAAATGGCAGATGAAAAATTCAATACACTATTAAGAATAAGAAGATAGATTTCAGATAAACTCAATTAAAATAAAACTGATTAGAAATAAACACATATGGGGCCTGTGATCTTAATGATGAAAAGGATTTATTTTACCAAATAATATTTGAAACTTCAAATATATATTGTTATTCCTTTTGCATTAGTAAGGCTTACATAATGACTTGAAAAAACTTTCTGAGGAGACAGCTACTCAAAGTGATTTAATTATGATTTTTAAGTTTGATCAAAAGTTATTTTTGTCTCCACAAAGAAGAAGAGTAATAAAAGTAGCTAAAGTGAGGGCATTGTAGTTAACTTCTATATGACACAATGTTTTAAAATCAATTCTTATTGAGCTATTCTTATTATTATATCCACTTCTATTGTCGTTAATAAATATATGTCATATTTCTTGACAAAACCATGGTCCATTTAATCATTCAACATTGTTTACACACACACACATATACACACGTGCATGCACACATGCACACACGGACACAGGAGGCTCCAAACAGTGACATTGTGCAGACAACTACGGCATAGACTTGTTTAAGGACCCCTAGCAGCCCAGCAGAGACACATGTCACCACAAAGTGTAGGAATATTTGATATAGATATGTTCCTAAAACATTAAGATTTGATGGAGAAGACATATAATTAGGTGAGAAAGGCAAAAGGGGGCATTTTGTGTCTGTGGGGAAAACAAAGTCAAAGAAATTTATAAGCTTCAGCAATGTATTATTATGCGGATTGAGTTTAGAGCAGAGATGAAGGATCCAACCTCTGAGGATGCTGAAGAAGGGTAAAGAAGGGAAGTAGTGAAACTTGAACTCTTGAGGAAGAGCTTGCAAACTGAAGGGGTCTAAGCTTAATGATCTCCTTGCACTGTGTGAACTGAATGCCCCAGAATCCTATAACAATGGCAAGCCATGAGTGACACATTTAAGGGGATGGCAGGGATTCAGATGAGAATGACCTAGATCACATCTTTTCTTTATTTTACAAGGTATGCATGTAATGTGCGAATGTGCATTTCTGTATCTATAAATCAGTATTAATTTAAACCTGCTCATTAGTGTCTTAGTTACTGTACTTGTTGCTGAGAGAAAATACTCAGCAGCCAAATAAAGGAGGAAACATACCTTTAGCCCACAGTTAAAAGATTTGAGTCTGTAATTGGCTGGCTCCAAGGGAGGTGTCATGTCAACAGGCACCGGGGAGGAAAAACAGTTCATGGAAGGGTTCAGGTAGAAAAGCAAGAAGGGACACCCATAGCTCTTTCTATCCCTTATATCTCATCCAGGACAAAATAGGATGAGTGGCACTCACACCCTTAATCCTAGTGCCCTAGCAATGCACCGTGAATCAATTCCAGCATCCCGCACTCTAGATCCAGTCACCTCTGAAAAAGCCCCACCAATGACTGCATGAGAGCTGGGAAGGCATCTTTACACAAGCCACAATTAAATTTAAATTTGTTCATCTGATAGGTTCTTTAGTAAAGGAGAGGTGATATTATGCATTAAAAGTGGTGCTATAGTTTCAAAATGAGGAATTCTATCCCAATTAATTAACAATTTGATGCTTAGAAAATAATTTATCAGTCTTAGTATTTCATTCTTCATAGTTACTTGTCTAAGGTTACCAAAAATGCATAGAAAAATATAATTTAGTATAAATCTACCTTAGAAAAGTGTAAATATATTCAATGAAAACAAGATTCTTTGGTTAATACATAGTGGGACCAAAATATAGGGCAAAGGTTTAAACTGCGTAAAAACTTACACTGTCTGAATTTCATCTCCACTGAAAATGTTTTTTTTTTTCAATCATCACCTTCTGCCTTTGTTTTACTAAAAGAATTTCTAAATGATCTCCTTGATTTTAACAAATCACACCTGCTAAAATTCATCCTTTATGCAATGGAATAACACATTTTAAATGTTATATTTTCAAATGTGTCAAAAATAGGAACAATATTATATTGCCCTTACAAAGTATATTCAAATGCTCACCTGAGGCATAGGCCCATCCATGAGCTGTGCTGGCCCATTTATTTGACCTTGTCCACTATTCTACTCATAATCACTTAATGCTACTCAAGTTGTTCTGGTTTCCATGGTGTTCCTCATTCAGGCCAGCTCTATTAATGATTCAGGTCCCCTATACCTTCCTCTTTCAGCTAGGAGCTTTAATGATATCATTGTATTTCTGTTCCTTTTCAGCAGATTTCTCAGTTTAAAATTCAGTTTATCACAGATGTCTTCCTTCATCATATCACCTAAAGCTAAGGTTAACTTTATTGTTGTTGATGCATTTCTGAGTTAAATTATTTTTTCTTGCTTTTTCTGCATGCTCTATCTCAAATGTAATACTTGGAAACAGGGTTGTTTTCTTCATTTGCCGCCTATTTGTGCCACTTAAAATAGAAGCTGACACACAGAAGATGACACAATGTATGGAATTGAAATTAGTTTGGTATGAGAGTTTCTTCAGCAATTAGAGAAAACATTGTAACTACTGTCTAGATAAAATGAAAACATAGAGATATCTAGAAATGATACCGATTGTAAAAATATCTCCTAAGCTAGAAAAATAAATTATTTATAAAATTTTTACAACATGTCTATATCACTTACATGTGAAATAAGCACTACTTATTAGAAAATAAAATTTGATTAATTTTTTTAAGAATCTAATAACTGCCAAGCACAACTGTTAATGTTGCAAAATAAATATACTGTAAAACATTACATATGAACCACTGTGGAGAGATTGGAATATAAGTAAGTAAATATTAAGTCTGAGAACAGAGGTGTGAACCTCACAGAGCAGAGGTATGGACTGAAACCATGCATTACATATGAGGACATAACTCAGAAAGAGTTAATTTTACACATTTTAATTTTTTGTGTCGTAAGCATTTGAAATCCACTGCACATTTCACAACTATAATGCATTCTAATTTAGACTATATACCTCTTAAATGTTCATTAGAGTTAAGTGCAGTACAGACCTGTAATTTCAGCCTTCTCTGAGTGTAAGCAGGATGATTTCAAGTACGATCCCAGCCTGGGCAGCTTAACGACTTACTGACACCATGTCTAATATACCCACATGCACACACAGGCACATGTGCGTGCACACACACACACACACGGAAGTAAATGATTACAGTCACCTAAGGTTGTAAAGCTCAATTCAAAAGCCCAGAATTCAATGTCTAGTATGGAAAAAAGAAAAAGAAAGTATTCAGCGCAAACATGTTCCTACAATCATATCATACCAGCTTATTCCAAGCAAGAGTCTGTCTCTTTGGTCTTGTAATCAGATTGTAAATGACTGGCTAGCTTTTCCATGTATTGAGTTCTGCTCACTTTGCAGCAAATTGAAGTTCCTCAATCACATGTTTTGTATGTATAAATGATGGCAAATGACATAAATGAAAATGTGAGCCAGCAATGAAATATTCTGCAAATCATCAAAAATTGTGAGTCAAATGTTAGGATTCCTTTAAATGTGCATGTCAGAACAAGAGATCCAGAAAATAAATATATTATAAAGAAAAAATACAGAGGTAGAGATACTAGAAATAAAATACATATCCATATATATACATGGCACATATAGGTGAGAGAGATGTTAAAGAACTAAATTAACAATCTTGTGGGCTGTCATGGTCTCAACTTCAGAACTGTATAAAGTGATAGAAAGTTGGTATTAACTGTGATGAAGAGTATATTACAGAGAAAAACTGAATTAAATTAATAAGTAGTTTACCAAAGTCAACCATAAGAATTGAAACGACTTTATAAGTTAACATTGCAAGGCCCTGATACTTTAGTGTTCATAATTCACTTTTTTAAAAAGGTCAATTGGAGCAATTCTGATGCACAGAAAACTCTCACATCTAAAATTTTATCAAAGTAAAATAGCATCTTCATAGTACCAAATATATTATTAATACATTCAGTATTATGGTTGTATTAATTTAACTTTATAATTATATCTACTAGTTTAATCATTAGACACAACTTAATTGTAATTTTACCTACCACTCTTATTACAAATTCATACTTTGTTTTTATTTTTTACCCTAACTAAAATTTATGATTTAGTCTAGCACAAGTCACACCATTCTAACCCATATTCTAATCAATCCATGTGCAATTTTCAGAAACAAGTTATAGCACAATTCATATTGTATTAGGCCATCTTAAAATAGGCTTATTATCTGAATTGCCGGGATTCAATTTAGCTGTAAGGTCATATCATGAACATGAGGCTAGTAATGATTCATTTTCTTCCATAATTTAATAATATTAACTTAGTAGCTTGAAAAATGAATCAACAAAGTCCTATGAATAGATTAACAGTGTTTAAAAATGTAAAGCAATGATAAAATATAGGTTATTTCACTGAAATTGTTAACAAAATTCACTCCAAAATTTATGGAAGCAAAAGTAGTATTTTATTGTTAATTGCTATAATATGGGATTAATTAGGCACCTCCAGAAATGTATTAAAACTCTAGGGTACCATCTGGTAAATTAGCACTTTAGTACATCAAAGGGTACCTAAATCATTATAGTGCTCACTTCCTTCTTATGCTAACCCTTAACTTTTCAACTATTAAGGATAAAGATTGCTCAGGGCATTTAAATTTGGAATATGAAGTAAGAGACTATGACTGACAGTGTTTGATGGATTCCTGGGAGGCAAGTGGACCTTCTCTTTCCTGATAACTCAGACATGAAACATGTAAAAATCATATGGATGAGACTAGAAACATCTTCCACGTGGCCTACGAAGCAGTTTCTCTTCTTATCCTATTCTTTACCTTTAGTATTTGATAGTGTGCAATCTACTACAATCTAATAGAAGTAATAATCTAGCTAAGTGCTCATATGTTTATCATTCTTAAACAACATATTCAGTTTTATATATTGTGCAGCATTATTGTACACTTGCATAATTAGCTTTATTAATTTGATAATGTTTGCATTCATATTTGTATTGATTAAATTTTTATATTAATGTTTAATAATTAAATGCATGCTCATATGGCACATATTCAGTATATGCAATAAATATTTTTAAGTTGCACATTATTATATAGAAAACTTTCAGGAAATCTACATCCTAGTCCTTGTGACCCTTTCTATACTTATAATGGTTGTTCATTTAGGGCATGTGTCTGCAAAAGTTTGTCTGTGCTCTAAAGATATATCATATACCTGCATGCATAAAAAGTGTATTTCTTAAGTGCATAGACATTAATAGGCATAGACAAATGTTACATATGCTATGCATAAGTGTGCATATTTATCATCATGCCTAGATTTGTCTTCCATATCAAAATAATATTCTTTGGTGCCATTCTTAGTATTTTAAGAGAAGCAAAATGTTTCATAGTGGTAAGCAATTCTTTGTTTTTTCACAGATTTACAGTTTTATGTCAGTTTTGTTCTCTTTGATGTAGCTAATACAAACAATAAAATGAATATTAACTCACATGACATGATATTTACAGGCTGTGCATTTTCAGGAAAGTGAAAACCACAGCAATATAAAATATTCAAATACTTAAGTTATTTTCCCAGTATGTTTATAGCCACCTTCAGAATGGCATTATGAGTACCTGAAAATGTGTCACATACTTTCACATTCATTACTAGAAAAAAAGACAATCATATATAGTGAGAAATTATATTAAATATTATTTCCAAGTTAGCTATGGTGGCATTACATTCCCACACTTAAAGAGTGCATTGCACAACATTTATGTCACCCACTCTGTTCTTCTTCCATAGCTCTGAAGGAGCTTATGAAACACAATACCTGGGGCGGGGAGTAAAATTTTTACTACCAGGAAAGAGATGAAATAATGGCTATTAGACAATCAACTGGATGTGTCTGCCATAAATTTTATATTCTCTGGATCAGTTTACCAAATGTGATAAATGATGTTTACAAAAATATCATTTTGTATTTCTTCTGTGATTTTCTAGAGAATTTCTAGAATTCTAGAGAAATTCTAGAGAATTTCTAGAGAATAGGTGCAAAGAAAAAGAGGGCTGTATTATGGATTTCAATAAAAACATACAAATATTCCATTGATTTTCATCATATGTTGCAACTTTCTATCACTGTGACAAAATACCTGACAGAGACAACTCAAAGAAATAAAATTTTTATCTTATGGTTTTGGAGGTTTTAATCCATACTCATTTGGCTAATCTTTTTCTGGGTGTATGGGGAGGCAGAGCGCCATGAAAGGGCATGTATAAGGAGCAAAGCCACTAACCTTATGGCGGTAAGCTGGGGGATGTATCAGGGTCCATTATATCCTCAGTGGCCTATTTCCATCAGTCCTCAAATTCTAAAGCTTCCATCACCTTTCAACAATACTTTATGGTGGAAACATGTCTTTAGAACATAAACTTTTCTGAGGCATTCTAAATCCAAACTATGTCACATGTAACACATAAATATTTGCACATTGATGATTACAGGATGCATTGCTTAATGGCAATGAAAGAGCTAGTTAAAATTATGTCACATTAACAAGCAATTAAAAGAAATTGTGCTAAGCCAAGTAGATAATTTTATCAGCCTGTAGTTATACACATGACCAGCATAGCACTTAATGCAGGGAGGCAAGCCCAAATTTTCAATGTTATTTGAAAGGTAATAAAAATGAATTTAGTATGTGTCAACTGGTAATTTGATTCTTTTTCATTTTTGAGGAACAGCTCTTTTTATCTTATGTTTTTATCAATTTGGGATAATTTTGAATTCAGGGATAAATATGAACACACATATATGATATGTAAGCTAGCATATCTATCACCTATCTATAGGTAAATATATATGTATATGTATAAATATATATAGTATATATATAAATACATATATATATATATATATATATATATATATATATATATATACAGAGATGGAGAGAGACAGAGAGAGATCACTTACTTTCCTAATTAGCAACAAGTTTTTCAAATCTTTTTAAAATAGTAGTTGAAAAATTAATAAATTCTAATCTATGCTTCTTTCCTATTGTGACTCTAAATTTTATTCAGAAGAGGATTAAATAACTGAATATCTTAAATATATTTTCATGTATTCATTTTTTTCTTGTTGCTTATTCGCTATTTGAATTATGTTGGGAAATTGTTTCTCAAGAATCATTATTTCGGGGCTGGGGATTTAGCTCAGCGGCATAAGCACCTGCCTTGCAAGCAGGCAGTCATGAGTTCGATCCCTGATAGAGATAAAAACAAAAAAGACAAAAAAAGAAAAAAGAATAAAGAAAATAATCGTTTCTCACATTTTGAACTTTTTATGCATAATTCATTGATCTACTATATGTGAATAACAATAAATGATTTAACTGTCTAAGGCTGGAGAAAGCTACTTTTTTTCAAGTGGTTGCCAACTACCCAAAACCATTCATTACATGGTTCTTCCTGATTTTAAAGACAATTACAATAATCAATTGGACAAAACTTTTACTCATGAATAATCCATTGCTATAGAAATTAGCATATTGTCATAAATAATAGAAAAGTTTATAAAACAGAGCTCTAGTTTTCAAGTTGTGTTTCAGATGAAGGAAAGGATGCAAATTTCTAAGAGAACAGAACAACTAGTCCATCACGTGGAAGTGGATTTGAAGATATAGTGCAAGAGTACAAAATTCAAATATCCAAGGAAATTAAAAGGACAGAATATGGTAAAAATATCCTAAAAGTAAGTGACAAGGAGCTAAACAGTCAATTTTTTTTCTAAATGAGAAAAGCACTTAAAAAGATATATTGACCAAAGTGATGTAAGAATGAGTAAAAATTTTAAAGTTCAATATTGCCAGTTACTAATACAATTCAAATTAAATCCACAGTGAAGTAGCACTATGTATAATTGACAATTGCCACAATTAAAAAGGCTAGTAATTCCAAGTGTTTCTAGTGAGTTAGAGCTATCAGATCTAGTGGATGATTTGAATAACTGTACAATCATTCTAGAAATTATTGTGGTAATTTCTTATACACATAAAAATACACTAATGAAATGATTCAGCAATTCCTTCAATAGGTACTTACCCTAATTAAACACTATGAGTGTGGACATTAGTTAAAAATTATGAGCTCAATCATCCAAACTGGCTTTATTCACCGTACTGAAAGTCAAACAAATGAAAAAGTACATTCAGCATAAATGAATATACAAATGTCACTAAGTTCAAAATGAAAGCAAAATATTTACTCTGATTTTTACTTTTCAATACTGAAATGCAAATCCTAGATAATGTAAGAGGATATGAAATACAATCTAAATGTGTAATTACTAGAAGGAAAAAATATTTTTATTCATAAATGATGTTGGGTAGAAATCTCGCTCAAATCAATAACTACTCAGTTGTATGGATATGGTACATTGTCTGCTAAGAATTACAAAAGCTTTGCTATAAGAATGAAACTAAACCTAATATGATGTGTTATAAAGCTCAACATGTATGCAATTACAGAAAAGGTAAAACTACTGTGTAAAAGAGTAAATCAGTAATTTCGGAGCCTACTAGATTTCAAGATGCTCAATTTCATATAAGAAAAAAATGAATATTCTGAGTGTAGAAAGTTGATCTTGTCTCAATTATGGTGCATTACTATATATATATATATATATATATATATATATATATCCAAATTTAAATTGATAAGCTAGATTTTAACAGTTGACTCTTTATAAAAGTAAAAACAGAGAAATACAATGCTTAAAAATTTGCTTAATGTAAACTAAAACAAAAGTTTCCAGAATCCAACCATGAGACAGTGTTTTTATGAATATAAATAAAAATCATAGAAATACTCAAATTCATCATGATATCCATTCTTTCTAATTTAAATGTTTATTATAACTCAGATTACATTTAGATGCTGAATATTTAGGTGTTGACAAAGAGATTCAGAATTATAAAGAGAGCTGGAGATATGGCTCAGCTGTAGAGTTCTTGTCTCGTAATCACAAGGCCCTGGATTCTATCTCTGGCATTGCAAAAACGAAACAAAAACAAAATTAAAAAGAAACACAAGAATCAGAATATCTAATACTATAGCACTACTTTAAAGAACAGCAAAGTTAGAGAGTGGACACTATCTGACTTAATTTATGCTACGAAACTATGATAATCAAAAAGTTTGATTTGGGGGGGTGGGGGAATAGAATTGGCAAATAGATCAATGGTACAGAAGGCTCAGAAAGCTCATAAAAACATTCGCAAAGGTATAGTAAACTTATCTGAGAAAGATTGTCCTCACACACTGAGATAACTGATCATCTACATTAATAATTTAAGAAAGAAGAACACAATTGGCTGGGCATGGTATACACCTGTAATCCTAGCACACAGGAGGCTGACACAGGAGGATTGTTGCAAGTTCAAGAACAGCCTGGGCTACAAAGTGAACTCAGGGTCAACGTGAACTTCATAGCAAGACTCTGTCTCAAAAAGATGGGAAAAAACCCACAGATGCCTTGTACATTTCAAGTAAATACATAAAATAGAAAAATATAAAATTCTTAGATGATTATATAAGAGAAATCTACAAGATAATGTGTTAGCTGAAATTATATACAATAAAAAGCATAATTTATAAATTAAAAATTCTATGTTGTGAAATCGAATATAATTCAAAAGTTCTGCTGTGTGACAAACCATGTGAAAATATAAATACAGGTCTGAATTTCTTTGAAAAAGGTTACTTTATATCTATAGTATTTGATAAATAACAATTTAATAAGTAACAAGAATAAAGAATAACTACTAGAAAAATTACAGCAATAATTTAATATTTTTATATATGTAAGTATGTTCATTGAAAACCTTCTATTAGCCAACTGTGATGGCTCATGCCTATAATCCCAGCACTTGGGAGACAGAGGCAGGAAGATCGTTGTGAGTTCAAGATCATCTTGGGCTACACAGTGACCTCAAGGCCAGCCCAAACTTGTCTCAAAAAGACAAAAACAAAACTAAACTAAACCAACAAAACAAGAGGAAATCTTTCATTAGTTCATAGACTAAAGAGATCTGACTGACATGACTCCTAACCTGACAATATATAGATCAGTTAAAACTTCTAAACAGCGCACATTGGCACAGCTCATGTTCAATAATTCAAAACAGTATTTGATCCACTGAAAGTGACAATAGTATTCTTAATTTTATAATCTCATTTTTATAGAGTAATGAAATAGTATAAAACTGTATAATTAAAAGAGGACTCCTATGATTTCACAAGACATCACTCATATTTCTGCTTCATGCTTGGGTTCGGTGGTTCTAGGTCGGATAATCTATGCCCATTTGTCTTGGTTTTGCTTGCTGACTTCTGTACATGCCAACCGCACATGTTTAATCACTGTGGAGAGTGGATCCTCTGCAATAAATCTTCATTGGACAAGTAGATCACCCAAAATAAATCATCTGTGGGTGAAACAACTCTGCTCACACATGAGCTGCTGGACAAGGAGCTTATCTGTCATAAACCACACAGAGATAAGTGGCTCAAGCTTGATTTACTGCCTCTAACCATAACTATGGTTTTGGCTCACCTAAAATATACCATGATTTTACAAGAAGCACAGTTTTTGCAAAATAAAAAAGTGTTACCTCCTTAATATTGCCTTTGCAAACATATTTTCTAATATATCATGGCCAAAATAAAAAAGTAAGATACTAGACTATTATGAGGTTATATTAATTTAGCAATATATAAGACAAAAAATTTGAAATTATTAAAGAGTAAATACAAAAAATTCCATACATTAATGTAATATTAAGTATATATTTCCTTTGTAAAGTTTCAGTGATAATAAACAGACATATGGATATTACGAAGGATAGGTTAGATGCTCATTAAGTACAAAATTACACTTGTCTGATGGTCTGTTTTTTGTATAGGCATATGAAATATAATACACACTACATTATTCTTATTTTATGAGTTTGTAGCAAGGTATATAATCAGAAAACAGTATGATAATATTCAAACAGAACTATGTTGTCAACTATTAGAACAAACAGAAAAGTTGGACTGTGATAGACAGCAAAAACTCCCCCAAAATTGAACTTCATGAATACTCTAAAAGTTCAAAAGATACATTAGATGGACAATGGAAATAGGGACTTTATACAATAAGGATTAAAATTAGTGTTGGTGTTAGTGGACACTAAATATGAGAATCTGTAACTCTACACATTTGGACATGTGTGAAGTTATAAAAGAATTTAAATCACTGAAAATTATTTTTTTTTATCCTAGACCAAAAGGGCATCACTAGCATGAAGAGAGAGAGAGAGAGAGAGAGAGAGAGAGAGAGAGAGAGAGAGAGAAAGAGAGAGACTCCTGTAACACTTATTGGTCTTTTCTGATCTTATTTTGTCTAAAATGTCACTATCTTAATTTGTGTTACATAGAAGTTGTTATCCTACAAACCATACCATAAAACACATTTTGCCAAAACATTTTCTGTTAGAGTTGACAAAATATATAAATTTAATATCTGTGGAAATAAACTTGCAAACATTTTGGCAATGCTAGGAACCTATTCACCACCTTTTGACATTTATTTTTCCGTCGCATTTAATATTATATTTTAAAACTCATTTTAGGACTTTATTTTCTAATATGTTGGTCATTCATAAAAGATGTGAGGTTGATATAAATATATTAAGTTAATAATATTTTGGTTCTAGAGTAATACAAAGCATTTGACTTTACCATCTAAGGAAGTTTGTGACTGTGTAATAAAAGAAAATATTATTTACTATTCTCTTGATATTCTTTAGTACAATAAAAAGTATGCTTTAAGGATTTATTTTTATTTGTGTGGTTTATTTTTGTTCCTGTGATTTGTCTAAAAATTATTGTTCTATACTCAGAAATGAACACAAAACTGTCTTTTTTTAAATAGTAGAAGTATAATTCAGGGTGTGTTATATAGACATTTTTTCATAACATATTGTGAACTGATAAGGGATATATAACAGGTGAAGTAAATATTCCTTCTTAAATAAATTGCTCCTGGTGTAAAAGAGTGGATTAAATAATTTTCTCAGTACCTGGATTTTAAAAGAGAATTTTTCACATCATTAAGAATGGCTTCATTTTTCTCCTAAGGTGAATATATTTCTAAAGTATATGTGTAACATTTTAGATATGAAATTCCTGAGGACAAATTGGTAAAACATAACAGCAAATGAGAAAATATTCTAATAGCGAATTCCTCTTTATTGTGTCTGAAATTGTCTATGGTTTTAGATAGATAGACTCAAGGATACATAGACACATAGATAGATAGATAGATAGATAGATAGATAGATAGATAGATAGATTTTTAGGATATATATATATATATATATATATATATATATAACCCAAAATACATCAATATATTTTTATATGTATACATCTACTTAACAATATGAAGGATTATATCATGATCATTTGTATTCCTGTAAAGATACAGATACCAGTGATAGGGAATATTTGGAAGATTGTATAAATTCTTCATTATCTCTCTAGTACGACATTTTCAAGAAAGTTAAATTATCATAAGCTGACTCCCTAAATTACAATTTTTAGAGTTTCTCTCTTTTAAAATTTTAATGTCTTTAGTAAATAAGAGTTAATCACTAAATATCAAATATAATGTGCTTGCAGTGCAATTAACCTGTATATTTTTGACATAGAAAGTTACTTAGAATTATGATTGCTTGCACACACCAACTTCAGACAGCTTCTTTCCCAGTAAGGGGAGAAAGAGAACAGAATCGATCCTTTCTATGCATTAATAGTTGTTCCAAATAAACCAAATTTAATTATATATATATATATATATATATATATATATATATATATATAATGTCAATTTCTTTCTTTTTTTTTTGGCTTTTTTCTTTTTTATTGGTACCAGGGATTGAACTCATGGGTGCCTACTTGCAAGGCAGGCTCTTATGCCACTGAGCTAAATCCCCAGCCCCCTATTATATCAATTTCTATAAATTAGTTTGATGACTGGTCTTAGGTATAGTAATTGAAGTGTGACACTATTGGTTTACTATACTATATTTTTTTCCTAAAGTATTTGTACCATAAACTACATAATGACTGTCAACATGCAAAAAGATAGATAAATGTTTCAATCTGTAAATCTCTATTTCTTCTACCAGACCGTAGTCAGGTTTTTGCCATGGCTAGCTGTCCTGCATGAATAGTTTCATGATCTGTATTTTAGGAAGAAAGGAAAATATTTTCAAATATTTGTGGATGGAGAAAAACAGGAGCTAGATAGCAAAGTATTCGTATTCCTGAGCTTAGTTCTGAGAACTCTGTCATTGCCCTACTCACTGCTCTTTAAAACACAGCCTCCTCACTTGTAGAGAATTAACTGCGGGCGCCCTAATGCCAAGGCATTTCCCAATCACAGTAATTTACTGCCAACTCATCATATCTCCATAAGTCATCCTTCTGGACAGGAAGCCCTCAGCATAATCTCTGCTTGGACAAAAAGCTGATCTATGTGATGTGCATTTTGTTAGTTGCTGATGCAAAACATCATTGTATCATTTATTGTATTTTTGATATGTAGGCCACATTTTCCATGGCTTTTACTTGCTAAGAAGTTTTTTGCAGTAATATAACTTTTACAACAGTTCACAATCAACATAAGAGTGAGTTATTTTTAAATTCTCTCCTCTTCTTAAATTAATGGCAATTTGATGAAGGATGGATGATTTGTGTTGCCCTTTTATTCTTGGGTACTGTTGGACCCTTTCTTGGTGACTTTTTTCTACTTTTCCATTCTTCTGTTGCTAATTTCCTTATTTTTCAGAGTCTTTTTCCCTCCACATTTCCTGCTCATCACCTTGGACTTGAACCTTGCTGATGAAGTATTTTCTTTATCCCATTTTCCTTGGGAAGTTTGAAGGCACTCTCTGTCCAGTCCTCCTAATTCTTCCCATTTTCTTTTTCTGCTGTCAACACTGCGATCCAACTTGCAAAAAACAGACTGACTTTCATCATGTGTTGTTCCTTTGCACAGTTCATACAGAGCCAATCAGCAAGCATTTGTTAGACAGCATTTCTCGATACGTCCTTTATGTGGTTTAATTTTGATCTCTCCCTCCTAATTGGATATCTTGACTGTAAAGTCCCATTTTACAGACAGTCTAATCTTTCATACTGCATTATACAAAGATTTTTCAAGGGAAGTAAAAGCAATAGAGAAAATGTTTGATATTTATGTCATAAGTTTTACTCTTATTTTAGAAGTTCTTAAGTTTTAGTGTGCAAGAGATTAAGAAAAGCATATCTGCTTGTTAATAAGTACATAGTCTACTTTTCACCTGTAGACATTTTTATGGAGCACGAGTAGAAGACCAGGAACACGTACTTCAGTGGCAACTTCATTGTCTTTTGCTGCAGACAGCCTGAGCTAATTTACCAATTTCCCAGTAGCCATATTTTATTTTTTGGAAGATTTTATACATTTTCAATATTTGTAAATAAATTCTTACTTTCTTTGATGTTTGGCCTAGATTGAGTCTTCAGAAAGGCATTTCCCTTTCAGTGTCCAGGGAAGAAAAATTCAGTCAGCTCAGTGAATTGATTAATTTGCTTTAATGTTTACCTCATAATCTGATTTCTTCAGAACATTTTAAATTATAAGTTTCTTATAAAAATATAGCTGTGATACCTACTCTTTGAAAAGTGCATCTTGTATCTCTTCTGTGGCATCATCATCTCTTTGCCTGTGCTCTAATGTCTTCCCTTCTTATCCTCGAATGCTCCATGTTCCTCTGAGGGCCAGGCAGAAAGCTGTCATTTGGTGCTGAAAGAAAGCTAACAAAAAATGTCCTAATATAACTTTATAATGTTAAAAGTTTGGGGGAACAAAATCTCATATGCTAAGTTATTTTTTCCCTCAATGCCAAATGCAGAAACCCTCATAATTTTCTGAAAGTCTTTCCCTAAAACTGTCACACTAGAGGTATGTGTAAACACTTACTACAGTGTGGACTTGTGGCCTAAAATTTTACTGATAATCATACATGAAGTGGGCTGCATGAAATCTGTCCTATTTCTCAACTCATGCTTTGCATCCCTCCTTGCTTCTTTTCTCCATCTCTCAGTCACCTCGAGGCTATTTTAATACTGCTGAGCTGAATATTTTATATGGCATATTCCTGATATCACATAAGTTTAAAACCAAATAGCACTTTCACAAAATAGACTTTACCAATAAAATAGCCAAAGAATATTTCCTCCATCAGAGCCCCCAAACTAATTTATGTTACACCATGATATTATTTTTTCTAAGTAATTCTAGTACTCTGGAAGTTTTTGACTCACTTACCTACTTATTAATTTTAGTATTTATGTCTTTCATGGCCTACACAACAATGGTAGTCATTGTACATTTCCCTCTGTTCTCTCTTCAATATTTGAAACACACACACACACACACACACACACACACACACACACACACACACACACAAAGTCTTGTACTGAAACTTGGTCACAGTGACTTACAAGATTAACTTTGTTTTGCTCCTTCTAACTGAATTCAGAATCATGTAGATAGCTTGAAACTAGTCAATGAAGAGCATTTTTACCACCACAACCAGAAAACACTAAAACCGAGGATTTTTTTGAGAATCAAAAAATAATATTACCAGTAACTACATCGATGGAAAACGCAGAATTTTTCCCTCCCTTGCTTCCCTCCCCCCAAACTTTTCAATTCTAAATATCAGACAGAAAGTGAAAGAACAAAATGATTTCTTTCCTATAACTAAAATCTGAAATAATATAACAATACGTGAAAAGAGACTTCATTCTAGCTGGATGGAGCATAAAAGTTTTATGTCCTGTTTTGTCTTAATCTCTTTAAAATAAAATGAAAGAGTTTAAAATAATAGAAAGCAAGAAAATAAGACTGAAGGAAAGCCCTTATGAAATATTGCATCCCAACAACCACTTGGTTTTCCAGTTTTGAAATCAAAAGCAAATGTGATTAATAATTCACTATAATTTTCATCCCAAATATATATAAAATCCAATATTAAACACTTATTAAAATAGAGGGAATTGTAAGCTGTTTTAGCATGTAGACAAGAAAAGCTTTCACACTAGGTAATTATTGTCCATAACTACTACTTGCAATTATAACTACATTCTCCTTCGTTCTGGCTATTATTCCACTTTCCAATTATATAACACAAAATCATTTGTGAAACGTAACTCTACCTTTTCTTAACCACAGTAAGTATTCCAGTGTGCTTATTTATGTGCCAACATTATCAATCCATTATGATGTATGGAGAAAAGAGACTTTTTATAATTCTTTAATTTCTAAAGAATGCATACCAAAATTAGGGACTGTAACTTCTGATAGTAAGATAGATTTTTAATCATAAAACAAAAGCTTGAGCTGAGTATGCCAGAATTTCAGTGCTAATGGAAAGAATATTTAATAGTGTAGATATAAAAAGTTGCCACCAAGAATGATTCAATGTAATACATTGTTTATGTAAAAGGAAATATCAAGGAGGAAAATGCTATTGAACAATTAGTTTCTTTTTGTGTTTATTACACCAAACTGTGTAAAGTACTTTTTCAGAAATTTTCTCACAAAGTCAATATCATAGCAGTACTTGTAAGTTTTTCTGTTGTTTCAATTTCTAGATTACACTGACACCCTGTAGAAAACATGAGATTCAATGTTAGATGCCCAAAGTCTATATTCCATAGGATCTCATATTCTATTCCATAACATAACATTAAGTCACAAAAATTGTCAGTGATGACAGATAAAAGACCATAGGATCCTCAAAGGGTATAATCATTATCATCATCATCATCACCAATTTCCATTAGGAGATGTTGCTCTAAATTTTAAAGCAAGATACACATGTGTATATTTCTGTTACTGTCTCATCAAGGTATACATAGATAAATGTATACATATGCATATTTGTTCCTCAATTTTTATTTTTTCTCAACTTTTTACAGTGCAAAATTATATTCAGAGCCAAACACAGCTTGATCATTATTATTTTGGAATGATGGTTCTATTGTATTTAGTTCCTTATCTTAACATGATATATTCATTATTCCCTTTGGAATATGATGTATCAATTCTATTGCTTTTCTGTAGACTCTTACAATTTAGTAATGTGGAATTTAGATTTCTTTTGGATTTGCTGACATCAAGTTTGAGAAGCAAACATTCTTAAGTTTGGTGCTCAGTACAACAGCAATGACTGTACTTCTTTTAAGGCATAGATCCATTTATCAACTTGATGATGGGAATTACTAGAAAAACACATCTAACATTATGCAAAAGCAAAACAGCATAGTTAAGAGTTGCTTATTATAAATCTTCTTAAAAGAGTAGATATAGATGATAATATAAAAGATATAGATAAAGAAAAATATTACTCATATTTGCCATTTGTGCCAAATTGGTTGGAAGTTTAATTCTAAAATATAAATTGAAGATTCTCTGAGGGATGGAAAAGTGGGAAACGTACTCAGATGTGTATTTTGAGTCTTTTTAGTGCAGCATTAATCATCCTGAAAAACAGTTTATTTGATAATTTAACTATTAATTTATTTTGCTTGAGTAAAAATAGAAACAAATATGGAATGCAAATCACACTTGTTATGTTCAGTTAGGCAAAAATACATATGAATGTTACAATGTGTGCATAATAGTTTACATTTATGCAAGGAGTAAAAGAAATAAATACTATCTATAGCATTTTTTCTGAGATAAGATGTGATACAAAATTTGCCTAAAAGATATAAATTATTTGATTTTAAGGAAAAAAATCTACATGACATTAGAAAAATTTATCTTTTGTTGGTTGGAAAATAAGAATACTCTCATAATAATTAATAACAGTCTTTTCGTCATGAAATGTTCCTCATTTGTTAAGTAAATGATTTTGAGAAGAATCTCAAATAATGGGCACAGTAAGTTAAGGTGCAATCACAAACAGAAACACTGAAGTGACACCCAGGATTCTGAGACAGATCTTTTTTACATCAACTAGCACTGATTGGGATCATTTCCAAAGTATCAGGCCCTGATCCTTGGCAATTTGAGGCTTATATGTGATAAGCAAGCAGAAAGCACCAAAGCAAAGTAATTAGTGCTTATTCATTGGGTTTTTTTTGTTTGTTTGTTTGTTTGTTTTTTTGTTCTGGAGATTGAACTCAGGACCTTGACGTAGGAAGTGACTTCTCTTAAATTTTCTGAGACTGTTTGTTTATAATTTGTATTACTTTTTCCTTAAATATGTACTAAATTTTCAAAGAAGTTCACCGGTAAGGAGTTTAGTTTGTGGGAAAGCTTTAAAATGGAATTTCAAAGTCTTTGATATAAGTATACAAGGATACTATTGTTTGTTGATAATAGTATACAAGGATACTATTGTTTCCTTGAGTGAATTTACTTTTGTTCTTCAAGTTGTCCACACTACCCGAGTTACCAAATTAAATGACATAAGCCTGTCCATAACAATCTCTTATGTGATTTTTTTTCTTTTTGCTAAATTTTTCCCTCAAATTGGTATCTCACTATTTTGTGCAACATGGATTCCAACACTGGGCTCAAGTGGTTCTCCCATCCAACCTCTAAAGTAACCAAGACTCATTATATTCCTATGAACTTGGCTGTACAATTCTCATTTATATCTATGTTTATGCAACCTATAACACTGTCTTTGTATTACTCATATTTATGTTTTCTCCTTTGAAGAAAAATAATCTGCATAGAGGTCTAACTACACACCACAATACAAGGAAATAGCTGTTGATTTTGTTGGTTTTTTTCCTTTTAATGTACTATTTTATAATATTTCTTTACTGTGTACATATATTTAGATTTTTCTGTTTCAAGTTTCTTTTGCAGTAGGTTTACATCTATGATAGGAGATTTCCTAAAAGGACATTAATTGCTATTCAGTTTTCTATGAGTATTTTCTCAAATGCATGACAACAATTGTTTAGGTCATTTTATTTTCATTTTACCCAGTTATAACTAATTTTTAATTGCATTTTTAACTTTTCTCATTGCTTTGATCATGGTTACTGTAATTTTGTTAATTGCTTTCCGTGTATGTGGGTATTTTACTTTCTTTCCTTTTTTCTCTATGCCATGCTGGAGATTGAATCCGTGGTTAAAGGCACTATGTGGAGCATGCTACAGTGAAATAAATTCCAGCCTGTGTTCTCAGATTTATATTCCTTCCTACTATTGTTTGATTTTAATCAGAGGACAATCTACATGTTTCACATATCTTTATAATTTATGGGCATTGTGTCACAACCTAAAATATGATCTACCCTTGCAAACTTTTTGAGTAAACTTAAAAATGTTTTCTTCTAACTTTGATCAAACTTATGTAATTGTAATTAGTCAAATTAATTGATAATATTATTTAAAATTTTAACTCCTAGCTAAATTATTGTATATTTATTCTGTTATCATTTGAAAGAAATGTATGGCTGGCACCATGTTTTCCACTTGTATTACTATCATATGTTGTTGTTGGTTTTGAACCTTTGTTAGCAGATGCAGTTATTTTGTGTTTACGTGTACCATCTATAAATTAAAACTTTTTAATTATGAAATAACCTTCCTTATCTGTAGTAGCATTATTTTTTCCAAATCTGCGTTGCTGTATGTTCATATGCCAGTATTATTAGGTATTGATTAGTATTAGCTTTGTTTCTCCATTGTTATTTAGATACGTTTATGGTTTTAACTTAATTTTAATTACATATACAGAGGGAATAAAGAGAGACAGGACCGACTTCAACTCACTTGT